CTTCAACATTACATTTCCTTTTACTTTGAACTTCTCAAAGAAAAAGTTTTTAGCTTCAGCCTTCAGAAATCTTCTCCAGGTTGCTTTCTGCGTAAACTCCATTTTCCTCAAGAAATCTCCCTCACAGCATCCCCCTATACAAATAGAAATGCTGTATTGGTAGTAATAATTGTTTATAAGCATTGATTCATGGTTTCGTGATGAAATATGCTACATAAAATCACGAGGGCAATATTGGAATTTAATTGAAAGTAAGGACTTTTCTTACTAATGTTACCAAATCCATAAGTCTCCTTTTTAAAAATAAGGAGAATTGATAAATGATGCTCACCAAACAACAAAAATTGACTTTTAAACAGAACTTTTTAAATCGGACCTTTTAGGAAGTCCAATAAGTTACCTAATCACAACCCCAAACACAGCCTTAGTTCTCTTTGAGGTTTTATTTTTGATAAGCCATTTCTCTTTTTTAGGTTGAAAATCTTTTTGTAAACATCAAAAGAATAGCGGTTTAATTTTACTTTACCTCTTCTCTTGTCTTTAAATTAATGAAATGATACTTTACCTCTTCTCAGAAAAAAAAGACACATCAGATACTAGTTGGTCTCACCTTGGTGAGAGATCTGACTGGAACCTTTTACTTGTGTGTATTATGTTATGAGGACAAGCCACTATGTTCCTCTATATATGAAATCATATCATTCTTTTCTTAGTCTCTCGTGTCCATATCCAATTGAGGGCTTCATTTAAAGAAAAAGGGTGGGAGTTTGCTATGCTAGACTGCAGGATTCTAAAGTACTTTGGATGACAATCAGAGAAGAAGAGTTAAGCTACTTTGTAACTTACCAAGGAAACAATGCAAACCAAACTTAGGATTTGGATATAAGTTGACCCTAGCAAAAATGGTTACCAGTTCATCCATTTCAATTGAACAATAAACAACCTCATTAATCTACTAACAATTTCTGACTTTTGAGGTGGGAAAAATTTCTCAGATTGAGATAGTTTCACTACCTAATAAACATGAATTTGCTAAGAATCTTTACTAACCCTGGACATTATACTGCAAGTACCAATTAAAAGCAACAAAATGTGAATGGTCCATTAACATTTAAGGAAACAACAAAAATAATGGGGAAACATAGATCACCGGACTGAAATATATCAAATCAACAACAAAAAATGTTCAGAATCTCCAAAAATCAACAGTGAAATGGAAATAAAACCAGTCCTGTTGATAAACCAGAAATACCCCTGTTAAACAGGTCAAAGCTGGTTTTTTGAGAAGACAAGATCGAATAACCCTTCCGAGTTTTCTTTGTGCCTGTGGATGGATGGAATCTGTTCCTTTACTCATTTTGCTTGGATTCTGAGGAAGTGGAAGAGGAAATCAGAGATGGTGGCTTGAAAGGAACACTGATTTGGAGAGGAGAGAGATCACGGGTGGTGGAGAAGATAGAACTGCAGCCAAAAAACGCCACTATCCACACTAGAAGGTGCTGTTTCTCTGCAAACAGAGGAAATGGAGGTGGGGAGAGCTGAAGAGTTGATTGTATTCAAGCATTAAACCCTACTCTAAGTGATGACCCAATTATCACCCTCAACCAACCCACCCTTAGCCCTTCTCTATGACCTAAATGGATTTCTTGACCGACTTGCTTGTTAAATTGCTGGGAATGGATGGGTTGCAAGTGGCTGAGTTGGATGGGTCAAAAGTTGCCACCCCTGGCCTTGGATGGACAACAAAAAGCTGCCAAACAATCTGATGAATCCACTCTCACCTTCGTTCTTTCCTCAGCTTCTACCAGTTAGTATGATCTTAGGAAATTCTTCACCCAAATTACCCCAAAGAATGTATATCGCTCTTTCAATCATTGACCGATTTTCCATCCAAGTTGTCATGACAGTGCAATAACACTAGCTAGGCACATCTCTGTTTCTAATAGCCACTCTGTGGGCTCCCACCCTCTCATTGCTGTCAGCTGGTTGGAAGTTCAAATCATTATGAACTATTTATATTTGCTCAATTAATGCAGCTCTGATGTTCATGGGACAAACTATTCTTGTATTTTTTGCTATATTATAGCATTACAGCAAAAACAAAGAAAAAAGGGAGAATGCACACCCGATTTCAGTTCCTTGGAGAAGAGCCGCCGGGAGGGAAGTTTCACTGGAAAATGTGCAGGTGTGGGAGAGGAGTGGCAGCCATTGACTGAAATGGGCCTTCAAAATGCAAGAGAGAAGAAAAATAAGGTTATTTGAAGAGTTATGGGCAAAATTGTGTTTTCCAAAACAAGGGGAATTGGAGGGAGAACTTGAGAGAAGCATACCTGATAAAAATGGCAGAGATAGGATTTCAAATCTTCTCTAGTTTTATGTTAAGCAGAGACAGATAGATAGCCTTTGGTTATCATGTGATCTGTATGGATCTGCTACCAGCACCATGTGCATTGCCAGAGGGAGAGGGAGAAAGAGCAAGAGAGAAATATTTGGTTCCCTGGGTAATCTATGAATTACTTTAACCTCCCGTGTTTTAGTCCCTGCAAAAACCTCGCTACCTTTCAAATAAATATATAAACACACCCCTTCCGTTAAATCTCCTGCAATGAAAGTCTAAAATGATGGCAGTACCCTTAAGGCAAAAACTTTGCCATACAGGTGCAGGCTCTAATTCTCAACCTGACAGCTTATTCAGATGGATCCCTAGATCTGAAATGCTTTGGAAGATTCATTAACTAAGGGTAACACAGAAAAGCTTCTACGGGTAATGCCTGGATTGGGGAGTAACTTGTAATCTTTATCTAACTATCCTTTGCAGCCTTTGGGTTATTGGTTCATGCTGTCTAGCTTTGTGGGTAGTATAGTTTGTTTTGGATGACATCCTTATCTAACCATCCTCACCTAACTTGTCATCCTTTTCTAAACTATTCTTTGCAGCCTTTGGGTTATTGTATTGGTTCATGCTGTCTAGATTTTTGGATAGTATGGCTTGTCTTGGAATGAAATCAACGCTGTTAATTATATAAGAAAAAAGTATTTTAAATCCATTAATTTCAATAGTTTCAAAAATAATGCATTAATATAGTACCAAATTAATAGAACAATTTCATATCTTTTTCTTGATAGGTAATGAAAAGTATCATTAAAAACAATTTCATATGAAATTCAATGTTGTCAAACCTCCAACCAACCATTGACTAGTCAGCCAAGGGTTGGACCAGCTGCATCCTTAACTAGTTGGTTGATGCTCATGATGCAGTCACCTTGAACAACTAAGCACCAATTAGGTCAACTAGTAGATTAACAATTCAACTGCAGTCATTTTAAATCTTTATTTGTTTATTTATATCCCTAATTAAAACCTTAAAACAAGGAATAAATGATACATAGATAGAGAATGGAGTGTATCAAAAGATTTAAAACACATGCTAATAAGTTGCACCCATAGCAAAACCAGCAGCAATCCCAAGATTTATAATTATACAGATGCCCCAGAAAACTTGCATACAAGAACACAGGTTGCCACCATAGCCAAAAGTTGAAGTTTCCTCTAAAAAACTACCCAACTGAACTCTTATTTTGAAAAAGCATTGAACCAACTGCAAGGTGCCAACCAGCTGGTTGGTAAGGTCTCCTGCTGGTCGTAGTGGAGACTTGGGATCGAATCCCGCCTACACCTGCGTTGGGGGGGTTATGGGTTGAGGGATGGACTGAGTTCTGTAGCCCTTCAACAGAAATTTAAAAAAAGGCATTGAACCAACACCACATCCTCAGCAAAAGAAAACACAGTGATAGTCTAATCAATCTGGACTGGACCCTCTTCAAACACAAAGTAATGCCATCAATTCTTGCCCCTTCCACCCCTAATTCTACATTTCATCTTCTCTTCAAACCTCAGAATATCCTAGGGGGATCCCTTCCCAATCTCCCTCCAACCCCTGCTGGTCTTCCCATGTTGAGCTACATGACTCAAAACCTTCAGTTAGTGATTTAAAAGGCGTGCCTGAGGCGCATAGGCGAGGCGCATTTTAGGGTATGCGCCTCACCTAGGTCCTAGGCGCAGCCCTTTCAAAAGGTGCACGCCTGGTGCGCCTCAGCCCAGGCGTGCACCTTTTGAAAATTTAATGCTGTTTTGGCATTTTTTTTTGAAATTTCTGACATTTTTTTTTTTAATTTTTAGCCTCTTTTTTTGTATTTTTGTGCCTTGCTTCAAAAAGGCGAGCGCCTCGCCTTGCGCCTTGCACCTCAGGCGCAAATTGACCCTTGTGCCTTTTTTGTGCCTTGCGCTTTTAAAACACTGCCTTCAGTACACCACTCTAAAGACACTAAGATGTCCACCACAAAATTTTCATGGTTCCTCCTAGCATCCATGACACTTTCATCAAGTCAAACTCTTGTATCTTCTTCTTCCTTCCTAGAAAAGGTGGCTGTGGCAAAGCTTTCTCCACCCAAGAAAAACTGAGTGAGTTGGACACTTCAACTATCCCGACTTCTTCTTCAAAAAAAATCCCGACTTACTACTTGATCCACCAGGAAATCTTATCTATCCAATGCACCTAATCTTATGTGGGATGTATGTATCATTTAGGCCCCATTTGGTTTGCAGGAATAGGGGTCTGGAATCAAAATCAAAATGGGCTTTTCCGATTCCAACTGTTTGGTTGGGTGGAAACGGAATCCTGTTCACATTCCTGGTGGAATGACATTCCCTCATTTGAGGGCATCGCCATTCCCTCCCCCTCCCTTGGGAATGAAATCCCATTCCTGGTGATTCCAATTTTCATTCCCGTTCCTGTCTGAACCAAACAGATTATGGGAATAGACCATTCTGATTCCGGCTGTGAACCAAACGGACCCTTAATCATCTTTTATGTACCGTAAATACCATTTTTTAAAGACTTTAGCTATGGTTTCACTTGATCCAAATTAGTTAATATTTAATTCATATGAGTGTTTTATTATTTATTTATTTATTTACTAATATTAACTGGTTTTCTTAGATATACACAGATAAGCAGAAGTAATGGCGGGGCATGAAGATTCAGGGGCTTCCAAGAAAAAAACTGCTGATTCTTCAAATGATTTACCAACCTTCAATGCTGAGAACTTGCAAAATAACATGAAAATAATCTACTATAGGTTTGTACTTATGCATCAATATGTGTTAATGCCTTTCTCGTTGCTATTACTTTTACCACTCAAATAAAAGGCCTAATTGTCTTTTACATGAATATCCTATCTCTGCTTCATGAGAAGGTATTTTCAAAGGTGGAAGTCATTGAATCATCTATTACATGAGAGTTTGAGCAATATTGTAATATTACTAGTTGCAAATTTGGGTATCACATCTGGACTTTGCAGGATATGGTAACTTTCTATTGCAATAATCATGTTTGAGTAGCAATGCTACAATCACATGCCTTACTACCTATCTTTGAAATATTACATTTAATATTTCTGTTTGTTTGGTTTCTATTATGTTTACTTTATTGTTTTATTGATTTTGGTTGCTAATGAGATTTCATTAGTAGGGGATAGAAATGATGCATGGGTTGATCCAAGAACTATGCTTAATTATTTGTTTAATTGTTTTTTTTTTTTTCAAAATGGACAATTAATTAAGAGCGTTGGTGGATTTCCTTCAAATGCTATGGGGGAGATGGTACTTGTTTGCACTAGCCTGTGGAAGAGAGGCTAGATTATCCTTGTTAACATTAACCTGGTTTTTTTTTGGGGTGGAGCATCTCCTAGTTGAAGGGGACTCTTAGGTGGTAACAAGGTGGCTCCTAAACTTGGATACCACCATTTGGGGCTACAAAGATCTCATCAAAAAAGTAAAGTGGTTAACTAGCAATATGAGAGTTGAGGTAAAATGGGTTAGTAGGTCTGCTAATTCTTTGGCTGATGCTTTAGCCAAAC